TGTTCCTAGTATCTGATTTTTAAAGTGAGGATATAGGGAAACTTCAGTTCACTCTGATTAGTTACCATTGGTAGCAAAATTCATGAGGCTTTCATTTTTGCAACCTTTATATTTATTATTTTTAAAGATTTCTTTTAGTTTCATTTGAAAGCTATAGTTACAGAGAAAGGGAGAGGCAGAGAGCGAAGATATCTTCCATCCACTGTTCACTACCCAAATGTCCACAGCAGTTTCAACTGAACTGAGCTGAGCTGAGCTGATGCCAGGAGCCAGGAGCTTCTTCCTGGTCTCCCATGTTATTCCTGGGGCCAAAACATTTGTGCCATCTTTTGCTGCCTTTTCAGACCACAAGCACAGAACTAGATAGGAAGTGAATTAGCCTAGATGTGAACTGGAGCCAATATGGGATACTAGCGTTTGCAGGTGAAGGATTAGCTTTGGTATGCCAATGTGATGGCCCCTCTAGAATCTATTATTTCTTTTTAAAATTATGCATATTTATGGACTTTCCTATGATAGATACATGAATGAATTGTGTGATATTAAAATCAGAATAACTATTTTCTCAAACATTTAGGATTTCTTCACCCTGAAATTGTGCAACATTTTCTTGTAGTTTTTTGATTAGATGGAAAGGTAGATGATAAATACAACACGTCATCATTAGCCTGACTCACCTGTCTAAGATTGCAGCAGTGCCTCTTATTCCCATCACAGTCTAACTTACCACCAAATAATCAACCTTGCTACAACCCTCCCTTTCCTCTTCTATTCTTCCCAGCCTCAGATAACCATAATTTTATTCTGAAGCCCTATGAGACCAACCTTGCTATGGTAAGGGATAAAGGGACAGGATCAGGTTGAACTGGCCTATCTGTGTCTGGTTTATTTCACCTGACATAATTATACCCTGTCGTATCCGTGTTGTTTCAAATGACAGGTCTTCCCCATTTTATGGCTAAATAGTATTTCAATGTGTATATGAACTGCATATTGAAGAGTGGATTATATAAACAGTTAAATAACATTTTAAAATAACAGTTTATCAGTATGCTGGCATATGAAAAATTGCGTATTGTTCAGGTTTGCCTACCAACTTCATTTAAGCGCAGGTCAAGTGGGCAGAGTCCTAGAAAATCTTTTGAATTTGTGTCCCATCAAGGTCCACTGAATGAGATGTTTAGAAATAGAAAGCAGTGTATGCTGTAACTAGTTCAGAGAATTCTAAAATATTGGATTGACATCAGATCATTTGAGTCCCTGAGATAATGAGACAGTTTGTGGAGATCAGTCCCTTTTATTGACTGCCAGGCTCAGCAAAAAGCCACCCATCTGAGGTCAACCCTGCCATCATCTTTTAAGCCATAGAATACTATGAGTGGAAAAAGTTATCTAAAAGGATTTTTCAGGCTAGATAAGTGATTTAATTTTGATTCTGTGCTTTTCAATTATGTTAAAATTTAATAGCATCTATAAAGTGCTCCAAGAATATTCTGTTTGCGGCTGAAGCTAGAGGACGTACCAAATTTAAACAATATCTGAGTAGAGATTTATGACATAATTTGACTGGAAGCTTTGTTTATCCACCTGTCACAATCCTAAAATTGTATCATTAGAGATTGATGAGCTCTGGTAACTTACAGGCAGATTGTTCTACAATACAGAAGCCTCTGATTGTAGTCACGAGCCTTTGTTATCTGAATATATCTGCTGTAACCTCTAGTTGAGTTTTGACTGAGGGGAAAAAGACTTTCATTTGAATTAGATAAAGTGCAAGGTGAGGTCTTGGTCACTGATGTTGCATAGGGTGTTTTAATAGAAATGGAATAGAAATTGTCCCAGATAAAGTTCTATCCTATTCTGATACTTCACACACACACACACACACACACACATGATAGGAGGATTTATTTTCTGAAGGATACATTTTTGAGCAGTTTGACCTCTTTTTTCCATCTTTTGTAAATACATTTTTTTTATTTGTTGAACTTTTCTGTTTTCTCCAATAAAAGTGTTTCTTATCACTATTCATCCAGTAGTTATTAAAGGTATTTGTTTGGAACTAGTATTGTGCAATGAAGAAAATAGCCATGATCCCTGACCTCAGTAGAGCATATTGTTAAAGTACATGCAAGCAGTTAATCAAAATTTATTGCAATATTATATGGTGTGTGGTAAGAAAAATACAAAGTGCACCAGATAACATTAGAGTGGTAAGTAGATCGTGTAATGCCGATGCTGAAAGCTTTATTTAACCATTCTACCACATATTCATATATGGAAAAAAATCATGTTGTGTTCTATAAATGTACACAGTTTTTACTGGGCAAACAAAAAAGTAAACTTACAAAAATCAAAAAGAACACAAGAGTCATATCTTCCGGAACTTAGTGAGTGTCAGATATGCACACCTGCAGGAGCTGTCCTGGTCTCCATGGCAACTGAAGGTAAAAATATAAATTGGTCAATGAAACAAAGCAGGGACTGAATTTCTTCGGAAGAAAGAAACAGCATGTTTAATGCCATGAGTCCAGAGAGAGTTGGTGTCATAGCTGATTAATCCACTTGCTGTGACACGTGCATTCTGTATGCGGGGTGGATGGAGACATGGCCATTGCATTTTTCATCCAGTTCCCTGCTAATGCACCTGGGGAAAGCTGTGGAGGATGGCCCAAGCACTTGGGACCTCACACATATTGGAGACCCTGCCCTAGCCTGGCCTAGTTCAAAAACAGCTGTGACTTTTCTCTCTCTCTCTCTCTCTCATTCACACTCTGCATTTCAAATCAATAAGTGATTCTTAGAGAATGAGAGGGAAGACCAGCATTGTGTTTTAATGACACGACTGCCTGTGATACTAGCATTCCAAATAGGTTCCTGTTCTTATTCTGGGATGTTTCACTTCTGCTCTAGATCTCTGCTGGTGATCTGGGAAAGCAATGAAAAATGGCCCAAATGCTTGGGGGCACTGACACCCATATGGGGGACCTGCATGAATTTTCTGGCAGCTGGCTTTTGCTTGGAAGCTATCTCCATCTCTCCATCTCTGTATCTCTGATTTTCAGATAAATAAGTGATTTGAAGAGAGACAAGTAAATATATTTTATGTTGGGAAATGTATTTTAAAATGTTGCCTGAATCTAGAAGAGAAAGTAAATGCCACCAGCAGGTACTATAGTATGAACACAATTTCAAAGCATACTGAGGAGTATGTTCATCCCTGAAGGCTGTAGTCACTGAGGAGCATTAAGCAAAGAGCCACAATTTCCTTTTCGAGATGATACATTGCAGCTGCTTTGCAGATAGACTACAGATGCCTGGGCTCCAAGCCTAAAAGCTCCCACTGTCCGAGAAGCAAGAGATCATGATGACCTTAAGTGGTGTCGTTACAGTGGGGAGAGTTAGGAAATCGTAAGAACTGATTGATTGATTAGGTGCAAAGCCATGAAGGGCATGCTAGAGAAAGAAGAAATAACGGAAATTATACCTAATACAGATATATATACATATACATATATATCTGCATACATGTGTGTTCATGTAATTTGTGTGTATGACTGCATGTGAACTGAAATAGCAAAATAGAATGAAAAATTGGACAGTTGGGAAGTGACAAGGGGGCACACAATGACCGTATACTTGGTAGAGTGATGTTCGTAGAGGGATTCCACGATAAAATGTCTAGTAGGTCACTGTACATACAAAGCAAAATATGATAATAAGAAATAGCATTGCAAGTTGCCAGCATGTAAGATGTAATCGAACATAAGCATATGGGTACAATTGGAAGGAAAAAATGTGGGACACAATGTTCAAGAAGTCAGTATTTGTGGTGCAGTAAAACCATTTGAAAGCCCTCCCCGGTCCTATAGTGTCACTAGCTTCCAGTTGCTATTCACTTGGTCCAGATGCCTTTTACTTATCTAAGCAACACTTAAATGGAAGTGTTGTGTTATGGAAGAATGGCAATTTGTAATCTTTTCAGCTTAAGAGCCAGCATATATATTAAAATAATATGAAATAATGTCCCATAATGTAAAACCCAAGAGTGTTTATAATCTCCAATCAATGCCTATGGGAAAAAGACACATGTTGTCCCAGATTATCATGTCTGTCCAATGCATTTTAAGGAAAGTTCACATTATCGAGACTTGTGAATTCCCAATGCATTGTCTGCCTCATTCCATACTTTGACAGTTACTCTTTGAAAGGTGAACAGATCCTTGAAGGAAGACTTCACAATAAGTTCAGCTCGCTATTTGCACTTGAAAAGCATTGAATCATCCTAATCATACTTAAAGTAACAATCAAGATTAATTGCAGCTATATCAGGATTACTTATTATTTGTTCTACTTCAGCAGTAAGCGAAATCCAATTGTACAGACAGTTTCTGTAATCTAAATTGTCAAAGAAACCGGGAGGGGGCGGGTAGGCGAGGGCAACACACAGGCAAAGCTGGTCAAAATACTATTCAAAACAAATCCTTAACCAGATAGTTATCTACAATTGTGTTTTTGAAAAACAGTGATTGTGAACAGATTGTATGTGTGTCTCGCTGGTAGAAGTGGATTATGTGTCTTGAATTGGATTGTGATGACGATGACCCTATTCTAAGTAAACCAAATCTCTTCAACTATATAATGAGCTCAGGAGGGACATTTGCCTGGCAACAACAGATTGTAGCCTGAGATGCTTTTGCTCATGTTTTTTTCCAGCCTCTTTCCTTGATGTTCCTGATACTGTGGCTTTCTTTTCCTGCAGTGTTCCTTGATCTGGTAGTTCTGTGTGCTAATTGTATTTTCTTATTCATAGGTTTTATTTTTATGAGCAGAGCTGAATGAGTGGCAGGAAGCTGCGAAATCTGTCTTACAAAAAGGTGATTGTGGAAGAGTCCAGAATATCTTCATTTGCTGTGCGGCAGGATTGTGGCAAAAAAAAAAAAAAAAAAAAAAAAAAAAGTATTTACGCTTCTGACTGATTCATTCTTTCTGCTTTTTAGGCCGTAAGGAGGCAAAAGTTACTTGAACAGAGTATCCAGTCTGCCCAAGAGATTGAAAAATCTTTGCACTTAATTCAGGAGTCCCTTGAGTTCATTGACAAGCAATTGGCAGCTTATATTGCTGACAAGGTGGACGCAGCGCAAATGCCTCAGGAAGCCCAGGCAAGTACACTAGGGAATGCCCTTCGGAGCTTTATTTTCTTTATGATATGAATCATCTGTTGCTTAGTGTTTAAAAAAAATTCTTTGAGCTAGTTATGCAGTGTGCAGGGGGTTATTTTTATTGTCTGATTTGGCTATTTGAAGGTAAGTGGGGAAAGAGGATTGGTACTCTTACACTGTATTTTTTTTTAAAGTATGTAATATAGGAGTTCAAAATAGTGATTCTTACAAGGCAAAGCGCCGAGATGTGGTGTGTATCAGTCATTTTAAACTATAGTAAAACTAAAGGAAACTATAGCAATGTAAATGACAAAAATATTTTATAGCACTGTTGAAACACTTTCACAAGTTTTATCATCAACTCCTCTTTGTCATGTGGAATCACAAGTCATGTGATCTCTGGTTCAGTATTAATGTGTTACAAGTTGTGAACAGTATTACTTTATGCATGATTATGCTGATTGTACTCACATGTACACACACATGCCTACAGCTCTTCAGTCAAGATTATGAACTAATTTTGAACTTATTTTCTAGAATGTGACTTAAAATAGTAGTGAAAAGAAACCTAAGTCCGCAGTAGCAGTAGGTGGATTTAGATCACTTAAAAAGGTATCTTCTATTTGGGAAATCTTTTAAACACTTAAAAGCCTCATAGGCATTATTCATTTAGCATCTTCAGAGTTGCTTGCCAATAAATGAATCTAGCTATTTTTCAAATTGTATGTGCTCACTACAGCTGGATAGGCAAATACAACAGATCCGAATGCTATGATGTTAGGACCATTCAAAGGTTATGTACAAATCTTAGAGGTGTTCTCTCCACTGATTGGTTGACATTCTTAAAGTTTTGCACTCCGCTATACATTTTGGGTTAAAATATCAGATCTCTTTGATTACAAAGCAATTGCAGTATAGTGAATCACAGCTAAATTGGTGCCCAGGATTTCAGTTGACACAATAATATGGGCTTATTTGCATAAGACTTAAATTTCACCAAGAAAATCCCTGAGAATGTGGGGGCAGGGTAAAGGTGGTTTTGACAGACTTTAAAAGCCCTAGCTAGGGTAAAGGAATTCTTCTTGGGATATATGCCGTTATATCAGGGGACAAAGAAACAGAAGCAGTGGGGGAACCAGATAATAAAATCCTTATCATAGTGTTATACTGGGCAGTGAGCAAATACTGCAAACAAATGGAAGATAGCAGAAAACATAGTTGAGGATTATAACGTTTCCTTTGTACACATTTTTTCAATTGACACATGTCTGTTCAAGTTCTCTAGCATGAAGTGTTCTTCACTCGATCCCAATTGAAGGCACATAAAAAATTTAAGGCTTCGCTAAAAATGCACAAAAAGAATGCAGAACATAGTAATGAGAACTGCATGATTATAAACCAAATGCAAAGTACAAGTTCATATTTAAAATGTTTAATTTTACTGATATGACAGAGAAATAGAAATCTTTGTTTTAAAAATGCTCATGACTTGCTTAAAGGAAATATGAGTTCTGTGTAAATATTAATTTATTAATTTGTACGTTAAAAAATACAAGGTCAGGTTTTATATATATTCAGGGTCCTTGAATGAAACTAAGAATAGAAAATATTTCCATCTGTTGTCTAAGTATTTTATACACATAAAACTGTGCATACTTACGCAGTACTATGTGTTGTCTTGCAATACATATCCTAGTAGCAAACTTGAGAAAACTATTTTTAGAGAACAAAAGCTTTGTTCATGTTAAAATGTATGACATGCAACTCTGTTTTCTTTTGATTAGCTATGGCTGCCAGATTCCATACACATGAATATAATACACTCAGGTTGTGGAAGCATAATATAAAATATTATGATTTTTGATTTCTCAGAATTCACTAGTAGCAATATTAAGTGTAGCAGTTGAGAAGCATTTGCAAGTAACAATGCACAGTTAACAAATCTCCAATCTATTTTAGGAAAAAGATTTTAGAATTACTAAGAGGCCCCTCAAAGCTGGTTTCTATGAATTTCTCATTGTGCTTGTATTTGGAAGACAATTCTTGTCATTGAATCCATCTAATAGTAATAAGTAATACCTTAAAATGTTAGCTACCTGAAAATTATTGAACTACTGTTCTCAGATTTGATTTTAAAAAGATGAAAGTGAATTGGTTTAAGGAACAGTTATCAAGAACTCAGATTTCCTTCAAAGATTGCATTTCTCAAAGCTCAATTTCTGACTCTGAAGAAAACAAATAAATGAAAGACAGAGGTTGTAATATAAGAAATGAAGCACAATAATAGGCAAAGGACTCACTAAAATTTTATTATACTACACTATAGTTTTCAATATAGAGATGTATACAAATGTAGTTATTTTTAAATATTTTTGAAGTTAATTTATAATTTTTTTCACAAACTTGACATAATTAGGGAAAAAAGGTTCAAGCACTGCAGGAAAATGGGCAAGACAATTAGTTCCATATTATTTCCTTAATATATCTGATGTAAAAGGGAATTTTAAGGGAGAAGCCTCACCCAGTCTCCCACCCACCCCAGGTCCCAGATGTGGGGCATGCTGCGAGGGTCTTGCTCAAGTGGTTTTGATAGTGCAACAGTTCTGAATTGCTGCCAGTCTCGCCACTCCAAGCACGATGAGGTTGTTGAAGAATCCACTGATTGACATAGTCCATCTTAGAGTCTCCGTTTGCCTAGTTTTTCACTGCCAATATGTAGCTGAGGTGGTTGATTGACTTGTTCTGTCCTCTGTCTTTTGATGGTTAGGGTTCTGAGTCTGGAAGCTCAATTGGGGAGATCTCCAAAGAAACTTTGTCCAAGGTGTTTCCAGAACAAATTCTTGTATGTACTAGCAAGCACAGGGCCCAGCACAGTCCATTGCCTTGATCAGTTCGTGGTTGCTATTGCTGGGTTGGTTCTGTTTCCATCCTGTCTTCCACTGGAACCAATGGGTATTTGCAGTCCAGCCTGGTTCTGCCCAGCACACACTGGGCCCTCACATAAACCAGTGGGAGTTGCAGCCTAGTCAGAGTGACCCACATTAACCCCCACCAGGCCCGCCCCCTACCCTGGTTTGCCAATATGTGTGGCAGACTAGTCCAGTCTGTCACACATCCCCTTCTGCTCTCATACATGTCAATGGGTATTGAAGCTTAGTTCCATCTAACCAGCTCAACTATTCAGTCCTCACGGATGTTGTTGCGTGCCTCTCTGTCTAGCCACCCCAGCCCCTGTCCTGGTTTTCGTGCCCTGCCGTGGGAGTGGTAACTCAACAGGGAAGAGCCCACTATTTCCCTCCCAGGTCTCTCACTCCCAGATTATTCACTCTGCAGGTGGTTCTGTGGTTTAACTTGACAGAACTAGCTTCCAGTGCCAGCTTCTGCCAGCTAATGCTGTGGCTCAGCCCCAACAACCCTCACCCACTCTAATTTTGGTTTGCACTGGTAGGAATAATCAGCCCAGCCTGGTTTTCCCCTGATCTGGTCCACATGAGGTGCACAAGTGTTGTAACCCTGCCTAGTCTGGTCTGTCCCTATCCCAGCTCACACTCTCCAGTGGGATTAGCTGTCCAGCAAGGGAACCATTGGGGGTTGATGTCAGTGGTTTTGTGTTAACAAATCACATGTTCATTTAAATGTCAGTTTAATCCTCAGTGTTTGACATGGGGCAACATTAGAAGGCCATCTGCATATCCTCATTAAGATCAACTGGGTGCTTTATTTGATTATTTCATTTTAATAGTGGCAGGAGAATTACTGAGGTCTGTACCCTAAGAGTCTAAGTGACATGCCTTTCTTGTCACCAAGATACATGGGCACATGGCAGGCGCTCATATGTACATGACAGCAAGCTATCTTAAAGACAGATTGCAGATGTTGAATCTTAGAGTTGTGCTGTTGACAGGAAAATAAGGCCTCTATCATTTTACTGATGAAGAATACAAATCCTTCTGAAATGAAGAGATTTGCCCAAGAGCCAAAATGTTCATTCTTCCTAGAGCCAATAGCAGAGTTCAAGTTGATTAAATCCCAGGCACAGGTAAGGAAGCATAAAAAAAGAAAATGTGGGTTTCAGTTCCTTGTTAATTCATATATTATTATCCTTGGTTTCCTCTCTTTGGTACTATATAACTTAATTCATTACTGAGAGAACAAAATGAATAGCATTACCATATTTAGCAGTATTTTATATATCTGCCTAGATGTTCTGTCAAATGCTGTTCACACAGATTTGTGGATGTCTGACTCCACCGTGTGGTGCACTGATAGTTTTGCTACTAAATTTAAATTTGTCAATAGAACCTTACTTTTCTGCATTTTAAGAGTGTGTAAAAGCTATCATTATAAAAAAAATATTGAGCTACCATGTAAATCATTAATAACTTTCACATGCGGTTTTATTGTATTTAAAAGTAGATGTAGAATAAATTGCCTCCACTTATGTATATTTGTAACTACAGGGCTAAAAGGGGCCTCCTGCCTCTGAAGACAAGTGTTGGAACTGCTATCTACAATAATTAGAAAGCTTATCACTTGCATTCTGAATTAGATGAAAAAATCCTGTATTTTGTTAAAGCTTAAAAAGATCTTATATTTTTAAACAGCCTAAATCCTTGTGTTAAGGATATCAGATGATCTATGATTATTCTTATCCAAAAAAATAGCCCTTCACCAGATCATAGTCTTAAATCATGTAACTTTCTACTACCAGCCCATTGAAAGAAATTTTTGTTTTAAGTGCGAAGTTATGTTAGTCTTACTGACTCAAAAAATTAAGCCAATGGGAAAGACACTTTAGATGTAAAAATAAAATCTTGTGAATATATAATCCAGAAACTTAAGAAGTATTTTGAAATGACTACGATTAAAAATGTAAAGAAGAAAAACCTTTTATTTGAAACAATTTTAAAAATAAAATCACAGTTGTTTAATCGAAAAAAAAAAAGGAAAAAATGCAAATCTGTACCTCTTGACTCGTTAGCCTCCACAATAATATTCTG